CACAAATATTTAAATGGTATTTATTTACATATTATTATATACATATTTATTACTACTAATAAATAAATGTAAATGATTTTATATATAATTTATCTTTATTTTTAATTATAGTGTATTACTCTATTTATAGCCAGCAACATTTAATATATTTCGTGGTACATACAATTTTTTATTTTGTCAGCACAGTAAGGTTTTCTGCCAAATGGTGTTGAAATTTCAATTTATGGAGTAGAGAATCAGTTAAAAAAATTTCACTCAAAATGAATGATAGTGTTTTTTTTGTTCATTATAATGACTGATATTACAGTACAATATTTGTTGGGTTCAAGGACTGTATTTTACCTGTGTTTTCCTTTCATTCCACAGGTGGCCATGGTGGAAGTACAGCTGGACACCAATCATGACTATCCCCCAGGACTGCTCATCGCTTTCAGCGCTTGCACCACTGTGTTGGTGGCCGTCCACCTGTTCGCCCTCATGGTGAGCACCTGCATTCTGCCCAACATCGAAGCGGTCAGCAACGTGCACAACCTCAACTCTGTGAAGGAGTCTCCGCACGAGAGAATGCATTGCCACATCGAGCTGGCCTGGGCTTTTTCCACAGTCATTGGAACGCTGCTCTTCCTGGCCGAGGTGGTCCTGCTGTGCTGGGTCAAGTTTTTACCCATTAAGCCGAAGGACCAGAAAAACGGTACTATATCCGCCGGGGTGGCTGCTGCGATCACGTCTACCTCCATCATGGTCCCTTTCGGCTTGGTTTTTATCATCTTCGCTGTGCATTTCTACCGCTCGCTGGTCAGCCACAAAACCGACAGGCAGTTTCAAGAGTTAGAAGAGTTGGAGGACTTACAGAACGAACTGGACCATCGAGGGGAGGCGTCTACCTTACAGTCTCCCAGTTCCCTTTACCCCTAGTTTTGAGTTTGGGAAAGAGCTTCTGTTAATGTTTTAGGTTTGTCAGGTGTTGCAACACACTGTATTTTCGACCGTAGTATTGATCTATCTGTTGCATGTGGACACCAAAGTGTCCAGTTTTATATGTGTTGAGAATTTGTCCACTGTTTCTGCTAGATTTTCTAATATAGTAGTAATAGTTTACTAATACCAGTCAAAACTGTGAAAGCATGCACTGCATGTTTTATGGAGATTTTCTTTTCATTTTTTTTCTGTTCTTATAGGAATAGTTCACCCAAAAATTCACATTTTCTGAAAATGTACTCACCTTCAGGCCATCAGCGGTGTATTTGAGTTTGTTTCTTCATCTGAACAGATTTGGAGAAATTCGGCATTGCATCACTTGCTCATCAGTGGATCCTCTGTAGTGAATGGGTGCCGTCAGAACGAGAGTCCAAACAGCTGATTAAAAACATCACAGTAATCCATTGTTAAGACGTTTTAAACTACAAATATTACTATAATATGTGTCCTTTCTCCATAATATTGCTTTCTCCAGTGAAAAGTCATCTGAATAAGGAGAGAAATATGCACAGATCAAGCACCGTTTACAAATCAAAACAGGTCTAAACAAATATGTCAGTGAATTTTTATGTGAGAGGACAATAGGGGATAGATGTTTTCACTGGAGGAAGCGTTAGTATGGATTATGGACTTGTATTTTGGCAAGAAGCAACCATTTAAAGTAATATGTTTCACTTCACAAGACGTTTATTGATAGACTGGAGTGGTGTGAATTAGCTGTTTGGACTCTCATTCTGACGGCACCCATTCACTTCAGAGGATCCATTGGTGAGCAAATGAAGTAATACTAAATTTCTCTGATCTAAATTTCTAAAATCTGCTCCAAACTCATCTACATCTCGGATGACCTGAGGTTGAGTAAATTTTAAATTTTTCATTTTTGGTGAACTGTTCCTTTAATTCACCACAGGGAAAATCCTTTATTTCAGTATGGCAGCTGTGCCAGTTCTGTTACTTACAACAGGTTGTTATTTTCACACAAGGCAAGCTACATTCTTACAGACATGAGTTTATATTACAAAAAAAAAATTTAAACACTGATCAGAGGCTTGTTTGAAGTTATTACAGTGCAGGGGACACTTTTATGTCCGCTTGAATCATGGCTTCGCTGTTGAACAGCTGAATCAACCAAAAATCAGAGTCTTATTCAAACTCCATTTTTCCCCCAAATGAACCCCCTGAATGAGCACATTTTGGAAGAAACAAAGGCACTTTATCAATATGTTTGTCTTGACATTTTTTGGTTGTATTTGAAACGGCTTCCCATTAAAAGGGCCTCTGTTCACTCTGAAGTTGGACACAAGTGCTTAGAGCTGTCACGGCTAAAGAGCTGGCAGGATTGTGCGATTATGCTAACGAACACATTTTAAACAACATGTTTATTAAGCAGAGGGCCGTTTATGCATGTAGTTACATCAGCAGCATTGACGAAAATGACTAAAACAACATTTAATTTACATGTTCAGTATTGCCAAATTGAAATACAATGATTTTTTTTTTCCAAAGTATGTGAAATAATATCTATGTTGTGTGTAAAGTTTGATTCAGAAGCTCTTTTTATTAGTGCACGGCGTGTGCTGGAAATTAAAAACTCACAGTTTTATACATTTTAATTAAAGTCTTACTCAAACCAACTGCAACCAAACACCTTTTTGTGCTCTTTTATATCATGTATGACATGCATTTCTTGCCAAAATGAGCATTTTGTTAAATACTAGTAGATGCATAATGTGCCAACAGCTTTTTTTGTATCGTGTGATAGTGTTTTTATTGTGAGTGAGGGCTTGATCAAACATATTTCACTGCACTAGTCTGCCTTTCTTGACTTCAGGATATTGTCAAAGTACATATTGCCTAGCAACGGTATGATTTGGAATCGTGGTCTCTGTTGATTTTTCCTTGTCCTCAGTGAAATATGCTCGTGCATCTATCAGCACAGCCTGTGAATCCTGTAGGCAAACCTTTGGACATAAAAGCAGAGCTGTAATGCACAACGTTTCTGAATCTGCATTAGGTAATAAACCATGCAAATTGACAAAACGAGCTGAGCTGTTTGCTGTTACAGTGGTCAGAACCTATGACTGAAAGCTTGTATTCTCGGTAATGCTTCATGCATTACTGTTAAAATGGAAATCATGCAAATGAGCAAACATCAGTGTTAATCATTTACCTTGGGAATTGGATACACTGTTGGTCTAACCGCTGCTTCTCTCCCAAAATCAGACATGGTTCCACACTTAGCAACGCCGTCAACCCAAAAGCCTTCGTACAGCTGACCTCTGTCCAGGTAGAAGAACTTGCCGTGTCCGTTTTTCTGTCCGTCGCTCCAGGTGCCCACAAAGCGGTTTCCATTAGCTTTACAAAAAAAGATAAAAAATGTCTTGTTAATAATTCACAGCGCAAAAATAAATTCTGCAAGAACAAAATTGAGCCAATTTTTAGGACAATTAAGATTATTTGCATTACATCATTTTAATTAAGAACATTTCCCCCCAATTCTCATTACCGTAATGCAAAAAAGATAATTCCTATCTTTTATGTTTATTATATAAAAAATTTAATGCTAAATAAAATCGTATTATTATTTATGATATATAAAAGCCAAATGACCATAATGCAAAAAATGCATTAATACAAACTTAAATATTTGAATATAAACTTAAATATAATTTCATATAAATATAAATGCATTATGTATTATAATATATGTGTGTGTACTGTGTTTATAAATATACACACATACATGTATATATTTAAGAAATATATGTAATTTATATTTATATACCATGAATCATATAAATATGAATACATATATACAGGTGCATCTCAATAAATTAGAATGTCGTGGAAAAGTTCATTTATTTCAGTAATTCAACTCAAACTGTGAAACTCGTGTATTAAATAAATTCAGTGCACACAGACTGAAGTAGTTTAAGTCTTTGGTTCTTTTAATTGTGATGATTTTGGCTCACATTTAGCAAAAACCCACCAATTCACTACATTCTAATTTATTGAGATGCACCTGTATACATGTAAACATTTCTTAAATATATGTATGTGTTTCTTAGTATATGTATGTGCGTGTATTTATATATAAATATACACAGTTCACACACATATTACAGAAACACAAACTTTTATTTTGGATTAATCGATTTGACAGCACTAATGTACACTAATATATACGTGTATATATATATATATATATATATACACACACACTATATCATTAAATATGATATATAAATACATTTATCTAAATAAAATGTAATTCGAAATAAAAAATTTTAATTTATTATTTATGATAGACATTATAGACATTAGACATTAAATTATATATATGTGTGTGTGTGTGTGTGTGTGCGCGCGTGACTGTATGCATTATTGTATATATATCTGTAGTGTTTGTGGTTATGATTTTATGCTGATTTCCATTTTTTTTCTGTATAAAGAATGTGCACTTAATTGTCATTAAAAATAATGTTACAATGCTATGTTAATTGTCCTAAAAATGGGCTTCAGTTTATTAATGCAAAAAAAAAAAAAAAAAAAAAAAAAATATAATAAAAATTT